TACGCAAATCACCACTGGACCTCGCCGTCCCCTGGGGGGGGGCTGCGATCCGCGAAGCCCCGGCCACTTTTGTGGGCTCCTGGGAGGTCTAGCGGAGGTGCGTCTTGCGCAGATCACGGTGAGATCTCGCCGTTCCCTGGGGGGTTGCGATCTGCGACACTGTCGCCACTTTCGTGGGCCCCTGGGAGGCCCAGCGGAGGTGCGTCTGACGCAGATCACCGCGAGACCTCTTTTCTCTGGGGGGTTTGGGTGCGACGTCGGGGGGTCCAGCGGCGCTGCCTACGCAGACCCAATCGAGACCGCAGGGCGATTCCTGGAAGGAGGAGGAGGAGGGGAAGGAGGACAACGACGGGGAGCCACTCGGGGGAGGAGGGCCAGGCCACCCCGGGAGGAGGAGGGGAAGGAGGAGGGCCACTCCCGGGAGGGGGACGAGGGGGCGTAGAAGCGTAGGACCTCCTTGGGGGTGTGGGGGGTCCCATCGGCCATCTGACCTATCTGTGCACGGCGGTTCCCTGTCAAGGGAGGAGGAGGAGGAGGAGGAGGAGGAGAAGGAGGAGGAGGACGAGGAGGAGGAGGAGGAGGAGGAGGAGGAGGAGGAGGAGGAGGAGGAGGAGGAGGAGGAGGAGGAGGAGCAGGAGGAGGAGGAGGAGGAGGAGGAGGAGGAGGAGGAGGAGGAGGAGGAGGAGGGGGGGAAGTGGCAGAGGCGGCGGAAGAAAACGGCCCGGGAGGGATGAGGACAACGAGGAGTCCATAATTGTTAGGAGAGAGGAGTTCATGCCGCACCCCCTCTTCAGTTGCCTCTTGCCCGCAGTGCACTCGGACACTCGCGCTGCTTGGCGCAAAGCGCTGTGCTGTCACAGCGCGCGTGGCGCTGCTCTGCAATGCGAACATAGCGCGATGCGATGTTACTCACACGAATTGTGTTTGCAATCGTTTCTCCTTGCTGTATTTCCACAATCCCTCGTGGCCGCCGCCCTGCCAAATATCTGAATCTTAAGAGCGACGCCGCGTCTGTGAACATGTGACTTTGGCCCGGCGTTCTTTGGCGAATCGTTTCGGATCCTTCAGTGCTCGGTTTTGTATTGAGCTGTCCGATGTACATCCGCCTCATATGTACAAGCAGTGGGGTACGTCCTGGGGTAATTTCCCCAATCCTCCTGCGTTGGGTCCTCGTTTAGAAAAGAACGCTGCGGTTGCCCACCTTCCTTCCTTCCTTCCTTTCCTTTCATTCGTTCCTTCTTTCCTTCCTTCGTTCCTTCCTTCCTCCCTTCCTTCCGTCCTTCCTTCCTTGCTTCCCACCTGCCTTCCTTCCTTCCCGCCTCCTTCCCTTTCTCCTCTTCCCTCCTGCCTTTTACCTTGTTCCCAACCTTCCTGTGGTTGGCACGTGTATGGCATAGAGCACTGCTCGCGCGTTTCCTTCCCTCTTTTCTCCTGCTGTCTTCCCTCCTCTTTTCTCTTGCGGGGCTGAGATTTGTGAGACTGGAACAGTTGTATTTTCACGTGTTTCAGGATAGTAATGCGTAGGGTGTGTGCCGACATGGGTTTTTTGTGGTCCTCGAGAGGCAAATCGCGCAATTTTCCACCCACCAACCCGCAACGCGTGCGCGAATCTAAATTGGCGCAGTGACGCGAGGACCCTTTTCATGCAGACCCGTGGCTCGGGTTGTCGATTCCGGAAAATGAGATTGAAAATTATGAAGGCGCTGACGACGATGGCGATGATAACGATGATGAACAACACCAAGATGGTGCTAATGATGGCGACGACGGTGATGACGGTGGCAATCGTAACGTTGGCGATAACGTTGGCGATCATGACGTTGTTCATGATGAGAGGAACGATGAAAACGATGGTGTGGACGGCGACGGCACCGGCGATGAAATGACGATGCTGATGCTTATGTTAATGACGACGTTGGGGTAGACGACGGTGATGGTGATGGTGATGGCCGGGGCAATAACGGCGCTGGCGGTGATGATCATGATGCCGATATGAAGATGATGCAGAATTGCGCGCGCAGAAGTTCGTAAACATGGTCAGACGTTGCATTGGCAAACAACTTGTTCCACACGTACTTATGAACATCAGCGTGTTGAATTGCTTGAAGGACTGCGGATTTTGGAATGATCTCCAAGTGCGCGCGTGGAGGCACGCGCGTGTAGCTCGCGTGGTATTGTTCCGCAAAGTGGGTGGGTGCGCGATGAGTGATGCATGTTTTCGACAGGCGCGCACGTTTTGCTCGCATGGTATATTTCGGCAAAACTACCAGGGATATATTTTGTTCTTCTGATTCCAGCTTCTGTAGGAATGAATACTTGCAGTAGTTTTTGAGGTTGGACACCTTGATCTGACGAAGAGGATTTTTCCCTACCTCGGCTCTGCCTAGAAGGGTTCTTACTCTCTGGGCTTCAAGTGCCGGGCAGTGGAAAGCGCCCCGGGCGGTTCCCCCAGTATCCGCGCCGCTGTTCCCCCAGTTACGTCCCCTTAGCTTAGCGTTGCTTATCTCATCTTAACTTAGCCTAGCTTAACTTAGCTTCGCTTAGCTTCGCTTAGCTTCGCTTAGCTTCGCTTAGCTTAGCTTAGCTTAGCTTAGCTTAGCTTAGCCTAGCCTAGCCTAGCCTAGCTTAGCTGAGGTTAGCTTAATTTAGCTTAGCTTAGCTCAGCCTAGCCTAGCTTAGCTTAACTTAGCTCAGCTCAGCTTAGCTTAGCGCAGCGCAGCACTAGCATAGCATAGCATCTTAGCCCAACAAGCATTGGCCGTTGTTGTCAGACAAGCCCTGGTTGATACCTACGAGTACACGTGGGATGGCGAACCGAGAACTGGGAATACTTTGTGAGCGAATGCGAAAACATGCGTGTGTGTGTGTGTCTGTGCGCAGGCAAAGCAAACACAACATCAAGCAACAACAACAACAAGAGCAAAGCAAAAACAACAGCAAAAGCAAAAGCAAAAGCAAAGGCAAGGCAATGCAAAGCAAAAGCGACACCAATGCGAAAGTGTAGATGTAGATGTAAATGTAGGTGTAGGTGTAGATGTGGATGTAGGTGTAGATGTAGATGTAGATGTAGATGTAGGTGTAGATGTAGGTGTAGATGTAGATGTGAGTCTCGCTGTTGATGTTGATGTAGATGTAGATGCAGGTGTAGATGTTAATGTAGCTGTCGGTGCAGATGTAGATGTTGCTTCCCTAGATGTTCCAACTCCTAGGTAGGGTCGCACTGGGATAATGATTTTGACTGAATTGGACATGCGCGCGGGTGGGGAGGGCGCGTGCATGTGCCCGCATGTTAGTCATTGGGAGGGGTTCTGACACAGCGAGCTTGTTCCCTACCTAGGCTTTGCCTAGAAGGGTTCTTACTCTCTGGGCTTAAAGGGGCCGGGCAGTGGAAAGCGCCCCGGGCGGTTCCCCCAGTATCCGTCCCGCGGTTCCCCCAGTTATGTCCCCTTATTTTAGCGTTGCTTATCTCATCTTAGCCTAGCTTATTCCATCTTAGCTTAGCTTAGCTTCATCTTAGCTCAGGTTTATCTTAGCTTAGCTTACCTTCATCTTAGCTTCGCTGAGCTTTAGCATAGCAGAGCACAGCATAGCATAGCATAGCCTAGCATATCATAGCGCAGCACAGCATATCATAGCATAGCCCAGCATAGCATAGCATAGCGCAGCATATCATAGCATGTAATAGCATATCATAGCATAGCATAGCATAGCATAGCATAGCGCAGCTTAGCATAGCATAGCATAGCATAGCATAGCATAGCATAGCATAGCATAGCATAGCATAGCATAGCTAGGCTCTGCCTAGAGGGTTAGCTTAGCTTAGATTAGCTTAGCTTAGCATAGCGCAGCGCTGCGTTAACATAGCATAGCATAGCGCAGCTTAGCATAGCATAGCATAGCGTAGCTTAGAATCGCACAACGCAGCAGGACATCTCATAGCTTAGCATGGCATAGCATAGCACAGCATAGCACAGCATAACATAGCATAGCATAGCATATCGCAGCATAGCATAGCATAGCATAGCATAGCATAGCATATCATAACATAACATAACATAGCATAACATAGCATAGCATAACGTAGCTCAGCATAGCATGGCATAGCATAGCATAGCATAGCATAGCAGCTAATGCTGCTTTCCTAGGGGCTCCATCTTCTAGGTAGGGTCGCACTGGGGTATTACATCAACACGTGTGCAATGCATGGCTTGATTTGACAGGAATGAGAAGGGAGGGGCGATAGCGCGTGAGCTGGCCTGGTCATGTTTGATCTATGAGAGGGGCGTCCGTGCATGACAGGCTTGAGCAACCACCATGCGGAGGGGGATGGGTTAAGTCCGGCCTCTGCGTGGGCACTGCTGCTGTCTGAACGTTTTGTTTGGGCGAAAGAAAGATGGCGTCTAATACGGAGGCGTCCTGAAACGCCAGCCAGCGCAGAAGGCGGCGGCGACAAGGCGTCGGCGGGCGGCGAGCGGACGCGCCCCAAGAAACGCCAGTCAGCGCACGCGGCGTCGACGAGGCAGCGACGGGCGGCCGCGGGACGAGCAACCGGAAGCGCCAGCCAGCGCGCGGGGCGGCCTCGAGGCGGTCCGAACGCTCAGAGGCACCGGCCGCTGCACCAGGCGGCGTCGAGGCGGCGGCGGGCGCCCACCGCTCAGTCAAGAACAGCTTCGGGCAAGCACGATTGGGGAACAGTGGAGTAGTTGCAGCACCTTCTCGACTCGGGACTGCCTCTCGAGTTGCTCTTCCATTTTCGGCGGAGTCGGGCTTCGAACCGTGATGCCCATTTGGTTTCGACGCTGCGTGGGGTCCTTGACCACAGCAGGATCGCGGTTCACGGGCAGCATGCGTTTCGGTGCGTCGCCGTGGCTCTCTCTTCGCTGCTTCGCGTCGTGGCACCGGCTCAGCGCAGCGAGCACAGCAGGCAGCCCCCTCGACGACATGGCACCGGCTGGCAGCGCCGAGGCCTCCGGCGACGGGGCGCCTGCGGGTGGGAGGCGATGGGGGATCTCCGAGCGTCGGCGCCCGCCCTGGCCGGGGCGGCCGACGGCGCCGGCACCTGCGAGGACAGGCCGCCCACGAGCGCCGTCGGGGAGGGATCTCTCGGGGCGTCTGGGCTCGGCGTGGGCGGTGCAGCCGCTGGCAGCGCAGGCACCTCAGAGGAGGGGCCGCGGTCCCCGAGCGCCGAGGAGGTTCTCGGATCGCCGCCGCCCGCCACGGGCGCGACCGCCGCTGGCTTCACCGGCGCTCCTGGCGACGAGCTGCGCCCGGGCGCGTGGGCGATCACCGCGGACCTGCTGTGGGACGGCTGCGAGGACGAGGCGCGGCCAGGCCTCTGCGTCATTGTGCGGGGGTCGCAGATAGCAGAGGTTCGCGGGACCCTGCCTGGGCGCCCAGAAATCCAATGCCCTATGTTGCCAATTTTCTCGGAGGCGACGATGAGGGCGAATAGCCCAGGGGCGGGGATTACACGTATCCCTCCAGAGCGTCGCCGAAGACATGGACCATCGGCGCCCCTGGATACATGTTTTGCTCCCCCCTTGGCTATTCTCCCTCATCGTCATCTCCGATTTTCTGTTGAGCTGTTCTCCCCAGGAGCCCAATCTGCGTCGACTCTTCTGCCTCGGCCTCGTGGCCCGTGATTTGTGGGGAAGCTGTTGGGGGCCGCGTCGGCGGATGGATCGGGGAACCGGAATCGTGCAGCAGGGATTGTCAGTATCATTTAACCGATCCTTATCCCCATCACCATCCCTGTCCCGATCCCCAGCATATCACCACCCGTACGCCTCGAAACCCGAAGGAGACAGCCAATATCACCATTCAGGGAGGTAGTTCGGGCAGTGGGCCCCAGACCACGCCAGTGATAGGGATCGGTTAAACGATGCTCAGATGGGACGTGTGCTTCTGGAGGGGGAAGCTTCGCATCCAGCACATTCCGATTCGGTGCCCCCCTGCCCTGACTTGACCGATGCGACAATCGGGGGGCATCGCCGCGCTTGCCTCCAAAATCGAGAGGTGTGCCCTGTGGCGCTGGCGCGGGCGCGAGGCCTCCCCATCGAGGAGCACCCTGGCTGCTGCCTGATGCCCGGGCTGATCGACGCGCACGTGCACGTTGAGCTCAGTGAGAACCATCCGCTGAGCAAGCAGCCGGCCGGCGAGGGGGCGAGCGGTGCCATGGCCGAGCGCGCACTGCGCATGGTGCGGGCGGGCATCACTGCTGCGCGCGACCTCGGCGGGCCCGCGTATGGAGCGCTGTGGCTCAGGGACGAGATCCTGGCTGGACGGCTGCCTGGCCCAAGGCTCCTCTGTGCGGGTCAGCCCATCACCGTGCCCGGAGGCCACGTCCACCAGTGGGGCGGAGTGGTATCCAGCTCCGCTGGGATCAGGGAGGTGGTCGAGCAGCAGGCCGGAAGGGGAGCCGATTGGATCAAAGTCATGGCCACGGGTGGCATGCGTACCCCAGGCACCGACCCTTCGCGGGCGCAGTTCAGCCAGGACGATCTGCAAGAGGTCGTCTCGGCCGCCAGTGCCCGCGGGCTCAAGGTGGCCGCCCACGCGCACGGCACCGAAGGCGTGGTGGGCGCAGTGGCCGCCGGCTGCCACACGGTCGAGCACTGCACCTGGATCGGCGCCGGCTGGCAGTGGGGCTGCGTCGACTCTCGGGCCGTCGAGGCCATGGTGAGGAACGGCGTTAGCGTGGCGCCGACGGCGCACGCCAACTGGGCCCGCCGTCCCATGTCGGAGGCCCAGAGCTTGACACCAACACCACTATCGGCGGTGTGCCTCCACCGAGGGAAGATGTTCCCAATCTCGGTGGTGGTGGTGGTAATATTCGGGCCTCTAAGAGGCCGACGTCTTGCCACCACCGGAATCTAGGATTCTCTTCTCCCAGTGCAGGCAGCCCCGCGTGGTGGTGCTGGTGGCCATCTCCAGGCCTCCAACCATGGGCGACAAGAATTTCGCGCGCATGTCCGCCGCGCTGCGCGCCCTGCGCGCGGCGGGCGTCCCGCTGCTGGCCTCCTCGGACGCGGGTGCCATCCAGGGCTTGCCCTTCGACGCGCTGGCCGGCGGGGTGGAGGTCCGCGTGCTGCCAAGCAGGCGTCCCTGGCCCAGGCTCGTCCCCAGACTCTCCTGGGGAGGCCCGGGTGGCGCCGGGAGCACCCCTCGCGAGAGGCCCCGAGGGCCCAGGGGGCTCCGAGAGATGCAGCGAGCGGGTGGGGGGCACCTTGGGCCAGGACCACCCGGCAACACCCCAGAGGTGTTGGCCGAGATGGCGGGCATGCCGCCGCAGGAGTCGAAGAGGAACAGAACGGCACAAACATAACCTTTTGGCGCTCCGCGCGGATTTCTGGGATCCGCGCTGGGAAGAACAGGGGCGGCGCCGCGCTTTTGGCGCGCTCCGCGCGCCAGGGAGGGGGGCCCAGCGCAGATCCAAGCAATCCTCGCAGAACCCCAAAACGTTGATGCTTGTGCCCTTCCTGCTTTTTGGAGCCTCCGAGGAGGCGCTCCGCGCCGCCACGTCGGCCAGCGCGCGGGCGCTGGGCCTGGGCGGCGAGTGCGGGCGCCTGGCCGCCGGGCTGGCGGCCGACCTGCTCGTGGTGCGCGGGGACCCCACCCGCGAGCTGCGGGCCCTGCGGAGGCCGCAGCTCGTCGTGGCGCGCGGGCGGCGGGTGGACCTGGCGGGCGGCTGGCCCCCGCCGCCGCCGGCGCCGCCACCCGCCCGGGGCCGTCCAGCGGCCAGAGGCGGGTCCCCCAGGGGGGGGGAGAGGTGGACCGGACTCCGTGGGGCTCCAGTCGGCTCCACGGGCTCCACGGAGCTCCGTCGGACTCCTCTGTGGGACTCCAGTGGGCTCCACACTGGGCTCCATCGGAATCCATGGGACTCCCCTGGACTGCATTGGATTCCATTGGAGTGCCCACAGGACTGCATTGCTCCTCGTTGGTCGCTATCGGACTCCGTGGACTCCATTGGGCTCCGTTGGACTCTGGTGAAATCCATCAGACTCCATCGGACTCCATCGCGCTCCAGGAGACTCCATAGGACTCCGTTGGATTTTATTTTGTTAGATTCCAGCGGATTCCGAAGGATACCAAGGCCACTTATTGCAATACGCAGAGGAACCCATGCGTATACCCAAGATCGTGCGATGCCACATGATGGAAGGGGGGAACGGATCCCCGTTATCTGTTCACACTGTGAATGTTAGCCAGCGTGGACCCCGAGCAGTGTGTTTATTGCAATTATGTTGTGCAGCTCATGTGGAGCAACCCTTGTGGCGCAACATATGTTGTGCAACCTATGTTATGTCGGAGGTTGGGGGTGAGATCGCAGTGGAACGGAGACCCCCAACCGGGAAATCGTTTCGTTTCGTTCGTGTCGTGCGTGCGGGCGAGGCGAAGCTGCGTGGGCGCGCGAGAGGAATGAACCCGCAGTTGCTAGGGCGAAGTCAAGATAAATGTTTCTCCTCCATCCGTCCGTCCGTCCGTCTGGCGGTGGCCCTTTCGGTGTCCCGCGGTGTCCCGTGGTGTCCCGTGGTGTCCGCCGTTGCTAGGGCGAAGTCAAGACAAATGTTTCTCCGTCCGTCCGTCCGTCCGTGCAGCGGAGGCCCCAGCGGCGTCCCGCGGTGTCCCGTGGTGTCCCGTGGTGTCCGCCGTTGCTAGGGCGAAGTCAAGACAAATGTTTCGCTCCCGTCCGTTTGTCTGGCGGTGGCTCGCGGTGTCCCGCGGTGTCCCGTGGTGTCCCGTGGTGTCCCGTGGTGTCCGCCGTTGCTAGGGCGAAGTCAAGACAAATGTTTCGCTCCCGCCCGCCCGTCCGTTCGTCCGTCTGGCGGTGGCTCGCGGTGTCCCACGGTGTCCCGTGGTGTCCCGTGGTGTTCCGTGGTGTCCCGTTGAGTGAGATCGATAATGAGATCGATAGTGAGATCGATAGTGAGATCGATAGTGAGATCGATAGAGAGATCGATAGTGAGATCGATACTCAGATCGATGTGGTGCCCCGAGGTGTCCCGTGGTGTCCCGTGATGTCCCAATTACCCCAGTGCGACCCTACCTAGAAGTTGGAGCCCCTAGGAAAGCAGCATTATTTGCTATGTTATGCTATGCTATGCTATGTCATGCCATGCTGCGCTATGCTATGCTATGCTATGCTATGCTATGCTATGCTGCGCTATGCTATGCTATGATATGCTATGCTATGCTATGTTAAGCTATGCTATGTCATGCTGCGCTGTGCTATGCTAAGCTATGCTATGCTATGCCATGCTAAGCTGAGCTATGCTATGCTACGCTATGCTATGCTATGCAATGCTATGCTATGCTATGCTGTGCTATGCTATGCTATGCTATGCTATGCTTGGCTATGTTATTCTATGCTAAGCTATGCTAATGCAGCGCTGCGTTATGCTAAGCTAAGCCAAGCTAAGCTAAGCTGAGCTAACCCTCTAGGCAGAGCCTGGGTAGGGAATTACACCCATGCTACTGCTATGCTCTGCTATGCTATGCTATGGTATGCTGCGCTGTGCTATGCTGTGCTGTGCAGTGCTGCGCTAGGCTATGCTATGCTATGCTTTGCTATGCTATGCTATGCTGCGCTATGCTATGCTATGCTGGGCTATGCTATGATATGCTGTGCTCCGCTATGCTATGCTACGCTATGCTATGCTATGCTGTGCTCTGCGATGCTAAAGCTCAGCGAAGCTAAGATGAAGGTAACGTAAGCTAAGATAAACCTGAGCTAAGATGAAGCAAAGCTAAGCTAAGATGAAATAAGCTAAGCTAAGATGAGATAAGCAACGCTAAGCTAAGGGGACGTAACTGGGGGAACCGCGGGGCGGATACTGGGGGAACCGCCCGGGTCGGTGTGCACTGCCTGGCCCCTTTAAGAAAGAGAGTAAGAACCCTTCCAGGCAGAGCCTAGGTAGGGACAAAGTGAGATCGATAATGATATCGATAGTGAGATCGACAGGTGTCCGGTGGTGTCCCGTGGTGTTCCGTGGTGTCCCCTTTGAGTGAGATCGATAGTGAGATCGATGGTGAGATCGATGTGGCGTCCCGAGGAGTCCCGTTATGTCCGGTGGAGCCCCGTGGTGTCCTATGGTGTCCCGTTGAGTGAGATCGATAGTGTGATCGATAGTGAGACCGATAGTGAGATTGAGAGGTGTCCCGCGGTGTCCCGTGGCGTCCCGTGGTGGCCCGTGGTGGCCCGTGGTGTCCCGTTGAGTGAGATCGATACTGAGATCGATAGAGAGATCGACAAGTGTCCCGTGGTGTCCCGTGGTGTCCCGTTGAGTGAGATCGATAGTGAGATCGATTGAGTCAGATGTTGGTTCCCCCCCCTCTCCCCCCCCACACAACCTCCTTATCACCCGAAGGGTGGTCGTATAGGTATTCTATGTCGTGCAATATATATTGTGCAATTCATGTGATGCAATGTCTACTGTGCGATGCAATATACGTGGTGCACTCCATGTGGTGGTATCTGTGTGGTGCAATCGACGAGCTGCAGTCTATGAGGTGCAACCTATGTGGTGCGTTCTGTGTGGTGCAGTCTATGTAGTGCAGTCTTTGCGGTGCAGTCTATGTGGTGCAATCTATGTGGTGCAGTCAATCACTTGCTCAACTTGAAGCGGTCCTCTCCACTGCTCGTGCAAACATTCCACCCTCCCACCTGCAATTTGGTCGCAAGACCTCTTAAGACCTTAACGGTAGGTGCCAAATGGCACTTGGCAGCGACACCGACGCCGACGCCGACAGCGACAACGACGACGACGACGCCGCCGACAACGACTACGATGACACCCGCGACAACTCCAACGACTCCGACAACGACGACAACGATGACGACGACACCGACGACGACGACGAGGACGCCGACGCCGACGCCGACGACGACGATGATAACGCTGACGACGACGACGCCGACGACGACGACGATGACAACGCCGACGATGACGCCGACGCCGACGACGACGACGCCGACGACGATTACGACGGCAATGACGACGACGCCGACCACGACGACGACGACGACGTCGCAAACGAAGACGACGACGAGGGATGAGGGAGATCGACGCAGGCGACAACGACGACAACGACGAGGGAGGAGGGAGGACGGCGACGACGCGAACGACGAAGAAGGAGGGAAGACGGCGGCACCGACGACGAGGGAGAAGGGAAGACGACGACGACGACGACGACGACGGCGACGAACTAAGAGGGACGACGACGAGACGCCGACGACGGACGACGACGACGACGAGGGAGGAGGAAGGACGACCACGGCGACAACGACGACGGAAACGACGACGACGCCAAAGAGGACGACGACGACGACGACGAGGAAAGACAGAGGACGACGACGGCAACGACGACGACGACGACGCGGGAGGAGGGAGGACGGCGACGACGACGACGACGACGACGACGCAAGAGCGCGCGCGCGCACGTCTTTGTTGAAAATCCGTACGGCGAAACCCTGTGGTTTTGTATGTTTTTTGGGCACTCGATTTTGCAATCCCTCCGAAACCAACGGTTTTTGAAGGATTTTGGCGTGCGCGCCCGACGGCGCGCGCGCGCGTGCCCTTCGTCCTGTTTTTTGCAGAGGGCTCTGGCGACGGCACGCGCGCAAGGGCGTTCGAACGATTTCGACATGCGCGCGCGCGAAGCCCGTTTGGTAGTATTTTCTGAAAGTCTTGAAACACCTAGGGTTTCTGAAGAGTTCGCAAGAGCGCGCGCGTAAGCTTTTTTAGGGAATCCTTGTGCGAAACCCTGTGTTTGTGTATTTTTTTTGAACTCGATTTTGAAATCCTTCCGCAGCCGAGGGTTTTTGAAGGATTTCGGCATGCGCGCGCGACGACGCGCGCGTGTGCTCTTTGTCCAGTTTTTTTTGCAAGGGATTCTGGAACACTTTGATTTGATTTTTGATCAACGAGTGTGCGCGCGTAGCATTTTTGCAGAGGATGGGGGGGGGGGGGGGGCGGTACAGATCCCCCTGGGGTAGTGTGAGTTCATATCTAGGGTGGGCGATGGGGCAGCATCACATGTACGTTGCAATACGAAGAAGGTGGATCGTTAAATCTGGGGGGGGGGGGGGAGGGGGGGTAGAACCTATCTCTTTTCTAGAAAAGGAGAGTCTCGGCGGTGACGGGGCGGCGACGGCGACCACGGAACCGCCAATCCGCCAACTAGGTTCAGTTCCCTTAGATTATGTTGTTTGTGCTTCTTAGAACGTTGGTTATGTGGAAGCGGGAGGGCTGCGTTGGGCGCCGCCCTTTTGGCCTCGCAGCTGTGGGGGGCTCGAGTCAGGTGGATCGGTGGGCCTCCAGTAGGCCTTAAGGCGCGCCCCGCAATATGTTGGCCGCTTCGGTACGTAGCAACCCGCTGTTGCGGATAAGAGTGAGCGGGCGGCGGGGGCGTCGGCAGTCTGCGAGGCTCTGAAGAAACCCGCCGTCGGCGCCGAACTTGACAAAGTATGCATCGAACCCACCACCACAGTCGCCGATTCTTACGTTCAAACAATGTGGGTGGGTCGCGGGTGGGTGGGTCGCAGGTGGGTCGCCCAGCGGGTCGCGGGGTGGGTCGCGGGGTGGGTCGCGGGTGGGTCGCGGGTGGGTCGCGCGGGTGGGTCGCGGGCGGGTCGCGGGGTGGGTCGCGGTTGGGTCGCGGGTGGGTCGCGGGGTGGGTCGCGGGTGGGTCGCGGGTGGGTCGCAGGTGGGTCGCGGGCGGGTCGCGGGCTGGGTCGCGGTTGGGTCGCGTGGGGGGCGACGACAACGACAAAAACAATCCGCACCTCAGAATCTCACTTCAGCCACGCGCCCAGGGACAGTGAATGACCGTTCGGCCCCCTCACTCTGACTGCGAATCCACCGCAGGCGCCGACTTTGACGTTAAAGCAATCTGGGCGGGTCGCGGGTGGGTGGGTCGCGGGTGGGTCGCCAGGTTGGTCGCCGCGAGGGTCGCGGGGCGGTTCGCGGGGTTGGTCGCGGGGTGGATCGCGGGCGGGTCGCGGGCGAGGACGAGGACAACAACAAGAACAATCATTTTAAGACTGTTCGCTCCTAACTGCTCGCTCGCCATTCAACACGTGCCATTCAACTTATCTGCTCCTCGGTGCCCACCCTCTTCGTCTTCGATAGGCTAATACGGGAGCGTGGTTCCTGAGTCTCGATGGCGTGGCGTTTGAATAAGGTCTAATGCGAGAGCGCGGTTT